GTTCCGAAGAACGCATTTTTCAGGAATTATAATTGTAAACCTAAAAACAAGAAGTCAAGTAGAGTGGTCACACCTGTATAGCCGAGTACTGCTTTCCTGATTAGGTTTTACATCCCTCAAAATTTCTCACCTCCAAGTGTTAATCATGGAATTAAACTCTCCTCAGTTATTGTTTGTTTATCTTAAGCGATCATGTGGTTTAAAACCGACACCACTACATTTTGTGAGTATCGGGTGCTATGATGAATTCGTCTAAGATTTAATTTCAAGTGTCTGTGGACGTAGGATTTTTTGAACCTTTGAAAGTATTGTCTGAGTAAATTCTAAGCTTAAGAGTGACACTTTTTTACTACTTATTATTAGAGAAATGGCATTTCTTTAGATACAACATGAGCTCTGGTGTAGTTAATTATCACTCAGACAAAATCTCTGTACTATAATCTTCATTCTATCAGCCGTTATGATTTGCGTTACTGATAATGAATTTCTGTAAAATCTGACTACCAGTTGCATTTTCACGGATTTCTGGCTACCTCTGCAACTTAAGTCAATTCCTAAGGGTATCTAGACCAGTTCTGTGTGATAGTCAAACCATCTCCATGAGTTCCCCCACAACGATCACCTGCTAGCTCAGGTATTCGACGAACCACAATACTAATTGGTTCCTTAATATTTATTGATCTACTAGCGGCTTCATTTGCCAAATGGTGTTTGTAATTTCCGATTTGCATCCGTAGAGAACCTAGCGGGGAGCCTTCAAGAGGTCAAGGGGATTTCTCCTGCAACATGAACCAAATCTAATGTTAATCTTAGTGTAAAGAGTGTGTCCTTCGCTATATATCCGCCTTTGTGCAGGTGGCATAGTTCAGCTAGATTATAACCTATTTGCTCGGCTGTTTTTTATAAAACTCGCCCTGCCATTTAGCAGGCTAACCAACGACACCGAAACACCAAGGACCCATTTCCTAATAACAGCATTGCTTACTCGCCTGTTCCAGGATATACAAGCAATGCTTCGAAGATACCAATGATCGAATACCAGTAACCTACGAATATCATCAACTCTTACTAGCCATGTTTCGCATTCGTATAGTACGATGGAGTGAACTGCTGGGCATTACAATCGTCCTTTGGTCAGGAAACGAATATCCCACCTACGCCATAAATTGGCAAAATCCAATCAAGCCTTCTGTATTGATGCTGAGATTTTCTCAGTCACCAGACCACCAGCACTGACGAAACTCCCCAAATAAGTGAAGCGTTTTACACACTCAACTACTTCACTCCCTATCATTAGTTCAGGTGAAGTTGCAACCCAGTCTTGAAGCAACACTTTGCATTTCGAGGGTTAGAACCGCATCTCAAACTTGCTTGCATTGTTGCTTAGGGTGGTCAGAAGACTCTGCATCTTGTCAGCCTCTTCATCAAATAGAACTATGTCATCTGCATTCTTCAAGTCAACAAGAACAAAAACACACCGGACAAAACAAAACAAACATATTTCACATTTTTTCAATACAATATTTCATTTCAATTAAATCATTGACAACTTTTTTTTTATAGAAAAAACAGAAGGCCATAGTAAAGAAAAAAATAACCATTGTTAGGTAACAAATTCCAAACAAGAGATAAAGAAACTTTATTGCCCTATAAATATATTAATTATTATTATTATTATTATTACTAATATTATTATTGAAAATAAAAAGGAAATTGATTGGTAATTTTCTCCATTGAATTAAGAAGTCAGGTTAGGCGTAATTGATTTAAAAATAGAAAGGTTTCAAAGGAACATACATACACACACACACACAAAGAAAGACAAATAATGTAACAATTATGCAACAGCAGTGGGGTCAGTAAGTATAGAAATAGATAATGGACGGGCGTCCCTCAGCTACATATATGCACAGAAAACATGTTTGGTGTAGTGATGACATAGATATACAAAGCAAAGGAAGAGAGAGGGGAAAAAAGACCGATAGCATATGGTCAAAAAAAATAAAACAAGAGACACGCAATCAACATCGCAATAGAATGACAACAATCAGCAGTAGTCGTAGAGAAGTATAGAAAATAAAATATATAAAAAAAGGAGACAGAGAGAGATCACAGCACTTTACATCGGGATTACTCAGCGGCCTCCCTTCTCCGCCGCCACAGCCGCCACCTATGAATGTTGTTACATAATGATTTGTGGTTCAACAACTGATTGAGCTATACTTTTATGCGGTAGTACACGTGCACCATTAATGAATAATTCATCAGAGACAATGACATCTTCACCTAACACGGTGACATTTTCCATTCTTACCTAAGAATAATAATAATAAATCAGAATACAGCGATAGTGAGAAAATCAATGAATGCTGAGTAAATAATTTATGTGTAAGCATAAGGCTTCAAGCCGTAGTTTAAGTGAATTTTTTTAATTTCTGGTATTTTATTACTTACTTACGCCTGTTACCCTCAATGGAGTATAGGCCGCCCACCAGTTTTCTCCAACCAACTCTGTCCTGGGCTTCCTTCTCTAGTTCTGTCCAATGTTTGTTCATTCCTCTCATATCTTTCCCTATTTCTCGGCGTAATGTATTCTTTGGCCTTCCTCTTTTCCTTTTGCCTTGAGGGTTCCATGTGAGGGCTTGTCTCGTGACGCAGTTAGGTGCTTTTCGTAGTGTGTGTCCTATCCACTTCCACCGCTTCTTCCTGATTTCCTCATCCACTGGGATATGGTTTGATCTCTAGCACAGTAAGTTGTTGCAGATGGTGTCTGGCCAACGAATACGAAGTATTTTTCGCAGACAACTGTTAACAAACACTTGTATCTTCTGGATGATGGCTTTCGTAGTTCTCCAAGTTTCCGCTCCATACAGTTTTGACCTTTGTATTGAAAATCCTGATTTTGGTTTTGGTTGAAAGTTGTTTGGTTTTCCAGATATTTTTCAACTGTAGAAATGCAGCCCTTGCTTTGCCAATCCGCGCCCTAACATCTGCATCGGATCCACCTTTCTCGTCGATGATGCTGCCCACATATGTAAATGAGTTAACGTACCTTATGCACACCTAAAAAACATGAATTTTTTCAAATCATGCATCGATCAATGTTAGGCCACTCTATTAGAAACCGTTTTTTTCCTGGTGTGGGGCTCATCGGTAGTGCACATCCACAACTCCTGCAACTCACAGGATTCGAATCCCGACACTAACACTGTTAAATGCCGGCTCAGTGGTCCGGAGGGTAGGGATTCACGCGCAAGACTGGATATCTCGGGTTTGAATCCTGTGAGTTGAAGGAGTCATAAATGCGCACTGCCACTGATGAGTCCCACATACCAGGACGAAGCGGCCATCCAGTGCATCCTAGTTTCTAATGGTGGTCTAACATTGATCGATTCATGATTTCTAAAAAAGTGACTCAACAATCTCTACAATTCCATAATGCATATAAACATCAGTACAAGAGGGTACCAAAATATATATGCGCCACACAATGAAAATGAGGTTTTGATGAGACGAAGAAAAGAAGGTGAATATAATAACCTCTCAAAGTTTACACTTTTTTAGTCATATGATAACTTTGCACAACAATCAGAAGTGCGTTTTATGAAACCAAACCAACTAACTTACCCATTGTCCAACAGTACACCTCCAACCAATAATACAAGTTTCTAACCAAGAATGCGACCGAATAATACTTCCTTGTAATAAAGTGGAATTACGAATTCGTACACCATCTTCTACTATACACCCTGGTCCGATAACAACACTTGGTCCAAGAACACAAGTCGGTGAAACTGAGGCAGTTGGATGCTAGAAATATAGAATGAGAAATATTATAAAGGAACTAGAGTGATAAGAAATATATATTACCAACCCGATGTATCAGCTTAAGTTGTTACCGTGTACACTTTAAAACAAATGGCTCAAAATTCTAATCTTCTGATTTCCTCATCACCTTTATCTTTCTCCTTTTAAGTTTATTTCATTGAATTAGACTTTTTGAATAACATCTTCGAACACTATTCTCCCCGATTACCGCTCATACTTCTACTACCTCTACAACTGTTGGATTTGAATTGACGATTGTATCTCTTAGCTATTGTGGTACGGCAACTTGAACTGATTTAAGTACGTCTGATGGCCTGGTGACTGACGAAATCTCAGCACGGATAAAGAAGGCTTGATTGGTTTTTGCAAACTTGCGTCACTTATGGCGTAGGCAAAATATCGGTTTGCTGACAAAAGGAAGAGTGTACTGCGCAGTAGTTCGCCCCGTCTTACTTTATGGCTGTGAAACATGGCCAGTGAGAGTAGAAGATATTCGTAGGTTACTAGTACTCGATCATAGCTGTCTTAGAAGCACTGTTCGTATATCCTGGGACAACCGAGTGAGCAACGCTGTTATTAGGAAACGAGTTCTAGGTAAGGATGGAAGATCAATAGATGAAGTGGTGACACTTCATCAGTTGAGGTGGTTGGGACATGTGTTACGTATGCCTAACCACCGGCTGCCTCGACGAGCTATGTTTTGTGGTGTAGGAATAGGTTGGAAGAAAGTTAGGGGCAGCCAGACCAAAACATGGCAGAAATCCATGAAGTCACTGACGACAAGTGGACTGAGTCATGTTGGTAGATGTAGACTACCTGGTTGGGGTCCGCGAGACAAAAGTCATCAGTGGTTAGAGACCTTGAACGACATGGCTCAAAATCGTTTGCAATCGCGAAAATGCATCCATTTGTTGTGCTCTCTCAAATCCTAATCTTCTGGATTCGTCAACACCTCTACCTTTGTCCTTCTAACCTTATTTAACTGAATTATACTTCTTGAATAATATCTTCAAACCCTAGTCTTCTTGATTACCATTAATGCCTCTACTATCTTTATCACTATGAGATTTGATTTGACATTTGCGTCTGTCTGTGCTGATGTGGTATGGCAACATGAACTAATGTACTTACGTACGAAGTTTTACGTTGCATCTGACTAACTGACTGACTGAATACGAAAGCACTTCCACAATACAAATTTCTTATTTTAAGAATATAATCTATAAGCAATAAATTATACACAACTTACTATTAAAACATTACCACAAATATTAGCACCAGTTGCTAGATCTTTTGAATGATCTGATTGTTTCAAATAATTCAAATATAAATTTGTACCTTTGAGAAAATCATTCGGTTGGCCAACATCCATCCAAAAGCCTAAAAAACAAGTAAGTAATATAAACATACAGATTAAAAAACAAAACATTATGATTTACTATTAGACAGACAGACAGATACAACACAGAACTTTGTACGTATGTACATTAGCTCAGGTTGCTATTGCGCATTATTAGCACAGAAGACACAACTGTCAGTTCAAATCCAATAGTTGTAGCGATAGTAGAAGTATTAGCAGTAATCGAGAAGATTACGGTATACTTCAGTGAGATAAAGTTAGAAAGAGAAAGATAGAGATGATGAGGAATTCAGGTTAGAATTTGAGAGGACACAAGGAATGAAGGCACCTGCGCTATTGCAATTGGTCTCGCAGACCCCGACCAGGTAGTGTATACCTACTACCAACATAACTCACAATTCAGTTGACAGTGACTTCAATGGACTTGAGCCATGTTTCTGTTTGATCGCTCCCAGTATTCACACACGTATAAAAGGTCATTATTAATGGTTAATAATAGATTAACTATTAATCCAAATGTAACGTTGATTAATTAACTGAGGTGAATAAATTGGCTGATCACTACCACTAACTGATGACCAGTCAGTGATCGATCATGTTTTGTTTGATTGAATTCTATCGAGTAAGTTGTAATGTAATCAAGTTGGTCGTTGTTACTCTATGATCAACTGGACCGTAGCTGCTCCCTCGACGTGATGGACGGACTTGTCTATCGTGACAAAATAATTAAGCTATATCGACTGGAACATATGTTCCTGAAGGTTCTAACATGCCATGCAGGTCGATTGGAGAACGATCAGACTAAAAGCAACTACTCAAGGTTTGAGGGCGAAGTCATACTGCTGACTGCAGAGAGAGGTGTGACAGCAATAAGGTGTTTCCCTCAAACAACGAGCATTTGTTGCCTTCTCAAAAGGAAGGAAGGGGTTAGAAAAGGTCGACCTTAAAAATGTCACACCTCACCTTACCTCACGGATTTCCGTCTCCGGTGGTAAGGCCTCTTAATCATGAACGGAGCTAACAAACTTCCCATAAAAAGGCCGTTCGTGACTGGCTTCAAGCAGTTGTCCCTTGGACTCTGAGGTCACGCACCCAGGTCTCTAAGACCAATACTAATCTACCTTCCTTTTCAGGTTCCTCAAGAAATGCCCTTCCACGGTGTGGGCAGCCGGGAAGTGACAACCACCCTCATCCCCGTACCAACACACGCGATCAAATAGGTCACAATTAAGTCTATGATCAAATAAATATAAGCAACTAAGCCCTACAGGGGTGTTAGTTATGACCATAACTAACCAATCAAATTGTGGTTTAAGTGCTCATCAAGTGATCTGGACTGATGTGTCTGTAAACTAACTCCGTTGCATGTGACCTACCAATTGAAAGACATTATTATCTTATTATATTAATGTGACTCATCATTTTATTCATTTCAATGAGACACGTTGTATCGATCGAAACAGATAAAGTTCAAAGCCAAGTTGTTCTTGTTCTGACCATAGATTTACCATAGACTCAGTATTCACCGGTATCGCGTTTACGGTTTCAGTAGTACAAATTAAATCTTACATCGGATCAGTCATTCCTCGAATGCCTCAATGGTAAGATTTCGACCTGTGAAGCTGGATGATGCGGATTCCACTTCAACAAAAAAACACCAAATATCTATCTATTTGGTGAATACTACTCGTAACGTAGGTTAAAAGTAATATGCAGCAGTGTCTCCCAAACATTATTCTTCAATGTATGAATTGATCAAGTTAGACAGTAACACCGTTAGATACCGGCTCAGTAGTCCGATGGTTAGGCGTTCGCGCACAATACCGAAGGTCCTGGGTTCGAATCCTGCGGGGTGCAGGAGTCGTGGATGCGCAGTCACTGATGAGTCCCATACCAGGATGAAACGGCTGTCTAGTGCTTCCAGATTTCTAATAGTGGTCTAACATTGATCTTATTCATGGTTTCAAAAATATAATATAATATATCAAACAAGTTCCCAATTTTACATTGAGATTTACCTGGTAATGTCATACAATAAAGTTGTTTTTCAATTGCCATCTCTGGGAATATCTCTTTTTCAATGGAAGTTGGACGTAGCTAAACAAACATTAGTAACAGAAAAAAATAGAAATAATCAAAATTTCAGTTAAATTTGTAAGGTGGTGTACACGTCACGCCGAATAATAAATAACTACAATTAAAAATCTACCATACTTAGGAAAATATTAATTGAATTTAATTAAAACAAATATTTGCATACTTAACTATTGAACAAATAAATGTTTGCTGTTATCGATCGATACACCAGTATAAGAGAAAATCAGTAAAACAAGAAGAAGGAGAAAAGAGAAAGACTATAAACTGTAGCGGAAATCTAAGTATCCTATATTTTCGATAAAAAACTAAGGCTGGGCTTCAACTAGGAGGTCTGCAGTTAAGAACAACATGGTATAAGCCAACAATAAATAGATGGACATCCTTTTCTGACATTTTTTTACTTCTAGCTTCTAACGATAACCTACACTTATCCTGAGATAGTAAAACACATCAGTCGGTCAGTCAGTTACAACATAGAACTTCGTGCACACGTACGTCAGTTCAGGTCCCCAGACCACATTCAAGTTAGTCATGTTAGTAGATGTAGATTACCTGGTTGAGTCCGTGAAACAATAGTAAGCTATGGTTAGCGACTTTGGATGCACGTTGTTAGGATATTCATCCAATATCCTAAGAGAATTATAGGTCTATTCCTATTGATTAATTCCTACTGGTCAATTTTATGGTCGCCCTAGAAATCAATGTCACGTGCTCCAATGTTGCTTCATATTGATCATCCTGACTATGAATGTCACTTTAAATGTTTTCCCTATTGTTCGTTCTGTATTTAAGAACAAAATGGTATAAACCAACAATAGATAGATGAACATCATTTTCTGACATTTTCTTACTTCTAGCTTCTAACCCTAACCTACATTTATCCTGCGATAGTAAAACACATCAGTCGGTCAGTCAGTCATTTACAACGTACAACTTCGTACGTAAGTACATCTGTTCAGGTTGCCATACCACATTAGCACACAGATGCAATTGTTAATTCAAATCACATAGTAGTAGAGACAGTAGAAGTATTAGTGATAATGGAGAAGATCACGGTTCGAAGATATTATTCAAGAAGTATAATTCATTGAGATAACTTTAGAAAGAGAAAGTTAGAGGTGATGAAGAATTCAGACGATTCAAATTTGAGGGGCCACGAAGAGTGGATACACCTGCACCACTGAAAACAATTTGAGCCATGTCGTTCAAGGTCTCTAACCATTGGTGACTTTCGTCTCGCGGACACAACCAGGTAGTCTACATCTAACAACATGACTCACTCCACCTGTCAGTGACTTTATGGATTTGTGCCATGTTTTGGAGTGGCCACCCCTAGCTTTATTCCAACCCACACCACTTCAGCAGTCTATGAAAACTTATCACTCGCATAAATCAACCTGCCATTCTCACTTAAACCTCTAATCATAGTCTCAGTATTAGTCACTAGTAATATAGAGTTACATCAGCAAAGACACTTCGCGAACTGGTAGTTAACGTGATTCCATCTTGACCCATTGATCACTAAACCAGAAGTAAACTGATATTATTTTATTAATATTAACCGAATACTTAGCACAGATTTGATTAATTGACTTGAAGTCACACTTTAAGTGTTTAAGCAAGTGATACTACCAAGCTGAGCGAGTTGGACTACCGAGAGAGTAAGTTAAACACTTTAACCAACTTTAAGCGCTCAGTCAGTTTGTGTTTGTGCTTTTAAGGGTATGAGGGGCGGTTGTCACTTCCCGGCTGCCCACACCGTGGAAGGGTTCTTCTAGTTGTCAGAAGGAGCATCGACCCCGTGACTTCGGAAAAACACTCGGCTTTCATCATCATGAGACATCATAACTCTCCGAAATGAAGACTTTCTAACCCCCAGGGCAGAATTTAAATGATCTGAATTACTTTTTCTGATTAACGTTTTTTTTGCGAGTTAGTTTTCTACAAGATGAAGTCGCCAACCCTAAGCCCAATCCTCCTCCCTTATGCGGCGGGCTTAGAGACAAACAGTAGCCCCGCAGGGGGCTCCAAGCGCTCTAAAGTATACAAAAAAACAATGAATATCAATAAATAATACAATAGAAAATTTCTTACAGGTATTTTATCAATAACACTTGGATTAAGTAAATAAATACCGGCATTGATTTTATTACCAACAAATTCAATTGGTTTTTCAACAAAACGATCTACACGTCCACTTGTTTGATCATATACCACAACACCATACTTTGAAGGTTCATCCACTTGTGTCACCTAATTGAAATCATAACCAAATAAAACCAATGTTTTAAATTACAAACATTGTTGAATAAATCACACATTAACAAGTTGTACAATGTACGTAGTACACATGTAGTTCGATAGACGTGAACCATGTCAATAAATCAATAAACATGAATGAAATTTCTATCGAGTATGATGATTCATGAGGTCAATTACAAGAATAATAATAATAATAGTAATATTGTTACGATAAATGTCATGTAGCCTGTCAATGCAATATATGCACATATAGATATGCATAGATTTACAAAATACATGTTTATCTACTCAGCTTTAAATCACACTTTATACTTGAGGGATGCTTATTGATGAGTATTATGACCTTGTAACCTACTAAAAAAAAAAATTAAAGATCGATAAACTTGAAAAATCGAATTAATGTTACATCATCAATGTAACTAACCTATACAATACAATACAACTACAACTACAATTATTATAAAGCATGTTCATATGAATAATGAACACTTCCAACAGAGGAAGAAATCACAAAGAAGCGCTGGAGTTGGTGGATACGAAAGACAGACAGATAGATACAACGCAGGTTGTCATACCATATCAGCACAGAGACGCAACTATCAGTTCAAATCCAAGAGTGGTAGCGCGATGGTAGAAGTATTAGCAGTAATGAAGAACATTAGGGTTCCAAGATATGATTCGAGAAGTATAATTCAGTGAGATAAATTTACAAGGAGAAAGATAGAGATGATGAGGAATTCAGATGATTAGAATTTGAGAGAACACAAATTGTGGATGCGCCTGATGCGCCATTGCAAACGATTCCGGGCCAGGTCGTTCACGGTCTCTAACCATTGGTGACTTTTATCTCGCTGGTGGATAAGACACACATTGTGGAAAGCATCCAACTCCCAAAGCCAAAGGAAAAGAGGAAGACTGAATAACACATCACGCTGAGAAATAAAGACATACATGTGAAGAATGAACCACAATTGGACAGAACTACAAAGTAAGACCCAGGACAGAGTAGGTTAAAGAATTCCGGTCGGTAACCTATGCTCCATTAGGTGTAACAAGTGTAATTAAGTAAATAGGTATGTTACAAAATCCGATCAACAATCCGAAAAACTTAATTCACAAAGAAATAATATTCACAAATAATATTTACGCATGAAAGTGAATGTGATTTGTTAAACTCACTAAAATAGTTCCTTCTTTTCCATGATTTTTATGAAATGCCATAATTGCTTTAAATGGGAAATCACACATAATATCACTGTTAAGCACAAAAAATGGACTATCATCCACAAGAAGCATATCTTTAGCTAAAGCGATTGGTCCAGCTGAAAAGATAAATCAACAAATGGATGAAATGATACAAACTCGGAAAAAAAATCGATATTAGCTATGAAAATAAGAAGACTATTGAATTATTTCCGTGTTCTATCAGTTATTTTTGTACTCTAGAATAACTTGTTCAGATGATATAACGGCATGACTAGTCCATCCCGACCGTAGCTGCTACCCTAACGTGGTGGTCGGGCTTGCATATCGTCATGACCCAACCGAGCTATACTGGCTGGAACATATAATCCTGAAGGTTCTACCATGTCAGGCAGGTCGATTGGAAAACGATGAGACTAAGAGCAGCTACTCAAGGTCTGAGGGCGAAGTCGTACTGCTGACTGTAGAGAGGTGTGACAGCATTAATTTGTTTCCTTCGGACAACCAGCATCTGCAGAGATACCACTGCCTTCTCACAAGGCAGGAAGGGTTAGAAAAGGTCGAACCTAAAAATGTCACACCTCACCTTACCTCATGGATTTCCGTCTCCGACGGTAAGGGTGCCCACTAAGGGTTTTTAAAAAGAACGGAGCTGAAACTCAAAAAACCTAAAAAGGCTGTGCGTGACTGGCTTCAAGCAATTGTCCCCTGGGCTCTGCGGTCACGCACCCAGGTCTCTAAGACCGACACTAATCTACCTTCTTTTTCAAGTCGCTCAAGAAACAACCTTCCACGGTGTGGGCAGCCGGGAAGTGACAACCGCCCTGATATCCGTAACAGCACGAGAGACCAAAATGGTCAAAATCAAATCCTTTTTACCACCCACCCCGTAATATCTCTCTCATCTCTATGACTAACTCTAGTAGCATTCCTTCTGTCTGCGACTAGTCTATCATTTGTCTGCCTATAATATTCTCTTCAGTCGCATCTAGAAACCTCAAGAATTCAGTTATTACTCTATTTCATATAAAAGTCTATGATTTCAATGGATTCTAGTTTATTATGATGCCCGTATGTAAGTGAAAAATACCACGAAATCTATCCATTGAAGACATTATTCATGCACGATATTAAACCAAGGTTGAACAAAGAATAAGTTTAATTTAAGATCTTTCATTTAAAAAATAAAATTTGAACGAATCGGTGTAACTTTAGCATATAAAATATGTTGAGTGCTTAGAATTAAGAGATTGGAGGTATAAGAAAAAGATATTTGAAAATGTTTAACAGTATTTATGCCTGTTAAATGAACATTGATAATTATCTTTACAATGTCTGTTTCAGTCAATCAGTCAGTCAACATCAACGTAGAACTTCGTACGTACGTACATCAGTTCAAGTTGCCATACTACATTAGCACAGAGACATATGGTATTGTCAGTTTAAATCTCGCAGTAGTAGAGGTAGTAGAAGTATTAACAGTAATCGGAGAGATTAGGGTTAGAAGAGATATTATTCAAGAAGTACAAACTAGTGAAATAAAATTAAAAACAAAAAGATGAAGCTGATGATGATTAACTCCAAGGTTAGGATTTGAGAGAACACAAAGATTGGATGCATCTGCGCCCAATGTAAACGATTTTGAGCCATGTCATTCAAAGTGTCTAACCATCGGTTACTATTGTCTCGCGTACCCCACCTACTACTAGGTAGTCTACACTTACTGACATGACTCATTCCGATGGATTGCTTAGCTAACAATTTAAACTTAACAACGTGACATTCAAACAAGAAGTTAAGAATGATCTAGTTCGTTGACTCTTGACGTTATCAACATGTAAGATAAACAATTCCTAATACTACATATAGGCTGATGTTGATCGAAAACTGCTTTTTGGAACCTATCAACATTTAAAGTTCTTAAATTATCAACTGCTTAATACACAACATATGCTTAATGTGAAGAACTAAAGTGTTTAGATTATTAAATAAGCAAAACAAACTATGAAAACATGTAAATATTTATCCAATTTACTGAAAAATAACAAGTAGATACCGTTTTGTCGGAACCAACGATTTAAAGATCAATATCAAAGTACACTTACCAGTACCCATTGCTTCAGTTTCATAAGAGAATGTAATTTTGGTACCAATCTAAAAAAAATTAGGACACAAGCAAATAAAACACACCAATAATAATAATAATAAATTTCTATATGGACTAGCAACTGAAAATTGCAACCAACAGTGTAAAATGGATTTGGGATATTTTAAGTGCACAAAAGTTAGGAATGAACTAATGTAGGCTAAAAATGAAGCACCGAACAACTAGTCTGCCATAGTTTCATCTATTAGTATAGTGACTACTGCCTTGACGAGTGATATTTTGTGGTGTAGGAGTAGGTTGGAAGAAAGCTAAGGGCGGCCCTACCAAAATATGGCACAAATCCATGAAGTCATTGATAAGTGTACTGAGCCATGTTAATGAGTGTAGACTGAATGGTTAGGCTCCAATGGTAACCGATGGTTAGAGACTTTCAATGATATGGCTCAAAATTGTTTGCAATGGCATAGGTGTGACCATTCTTTGTGTTCTCTCAAATTCTAATCTTCTGAATTCCTCATCACCTCTATCTTCCTCTTTCTCAATTCATTTCACTGAATCATACTCCTTGAATAATATCTTCAAATGCTGATCTTTTCCACTACCTCTACTACTATGGCATTTAATTGACAATTGCATCTCTGTGCTAATGTGGTTTGGTCTGATGTACGTACGTACCAAGTTCTACGTTGTAGCTTTCTTTCTATCATAGGCTTTATACGCCCAACCTTCACTTAGCATTGTAGTCGGACTGATTGGATAGCATCACACTATATCTCTCACATAAAAATTTTGACTCAAAGCCAAACAAATAAAATGTGTTCACTAGTGACTAGTTTCGTGAGGAAGTTCTCGGACTTCTAGTAAGGACATGTGACGAGTGGAGTTCAACTCTGTTATGGTGTAGGCATTAACTACCGAAGACAAAATACTGAAATTGAACGAGGTTAAACATCAACATCTTTGGATGCCGACTCACTGGTCTAGAGATCAAGCGTTCGCGCGCGAGACCAAAGCTCTTGAGTTCGATTCCCCCAAGTGAGGACCATGGATGTGCACTGCTAATGAGTCCCGTGCTTGGAGGAATCGGTCGTCCGGTGCTTCCAGGTTTCTAATGGTGGTCTAACAATGTTACTGAAACCCACGGCTTCTCTCTAACCTCATGGTTTACCTTACTAGCAGATATCGCTGCTGTTTCCACAGCCTTTTTGATATCATTCCAAGCTGCCTCAGGGTGGGCATCACTTACTACATGACTGCCTAACTGTTTTCCTAGTTATTCCTGAAATATATTCTTAGCTTTGTTATGATAAAGTAAAGCTCTAAGGGGTTTTATTGCGATATTTTTCCTATGTCCAGTGAGACGCAAACAAATACGCGCTTGCACTAAAGCATGTTCTGAGTCTAAACCAGTGCTCCAGAATGAGC